AAAAGGCTAGGCATCTCTGGCTTAAGCATGGTGACAATAATTCCAGTTTTTTCCATGCATATGTCAGACACAGAGAAAGATGAACTCAATCACCAGGTTAGTGGACGGGAACAACACCTCTCTTAATACTCACACAGAAATTGAAAACCACATCACAGAATTTCATAATGCTCTATTCACATCAGAGGGCTCATGGGGAGAAGATAATCTGCTACACCTTGTTCCCCACTCTGTCACTGATGACATGAATAGGGACCTTCTTAAGCCAGTGGAGGATGATGAGATTAAGGCAACCCTTTTCAGCCTTGCTCCTGAGAAGGCTCCTGGTGAAGTAGGTTTGAATCCTCTATTTTATCAGCATTTCTGGGCTATTATTAAATTGGATTTTTTGCTGTTGTCAAGAGATTTTTCTCTTCTGGAATGCTGCTCAAATACTGGAACCAAACCCTCATCATTTTGATACCCAAATGCAAAAACCCTGACACCATTGACCAATTCAGACTCATTAGTCTTTGTACTGTGGTATACAAGTAGGCATGTCAGTAAAACCCGCAGGGTCAGGTTACCCACGGGTTACCTGGATTTTTGGGTCGGGTAAACCCGGATGAGCAGGTTTCGGGTTGGGTTCGGGTAGAATTATACTACCCGAATACCGGGTTGGGTCGGGTGCGGGTACAGTAAAAAAACCCGTTACCCGACTCAATTACCCCCAGACATATATATATATATATATATATATGTATATATAGCTCATTATAAATATAAAAATAGTCAGTTACAATTTTGGTTAATCGTTTTTTTTAACAATTTTGTTTATCAATTTTTGCTAATTGTATAATAAAATATTTAAGTACTTAATTTTTAAACATTATATTATTTACTAGACTACAAAAGAAAAATAATTATCTCATTATTTATCTCAAAAATATTATATATATATATATATATATTTATTTTCTTATTGTAAAACTTAGAGCATGTTTGTTAGGGGAGATAGGATTATATAATTTAATCTTTAGACACAAGATTAGGGGTGTAGAGATTAAAGTAATGTCATGTTTGTTCTCCTTGATTCATGCAAGATGGTATTTTTATTATAATCATTATTTTTTGTATGTATTCCATGATTAAGATTACCCATATGGATTTGTAATCCATGATTAAGATTAGGATAAGAAACACAATTTACATATTTTCCCTACCAATATGGATTTGCATGTTTGTCATTTTATTCATACTTAACTGCTTTTTTTTTTTTTTTGTTTTTCCTACTATTATTTTGTTTATTTTTTTTTTGTTCTTTTTTAATTTTTTGTTTTTTTGGTTTATTTCCAAAATTTTGCATGCGGGATGTTGTCTTCCCATTTTTTCCCTACTTGAACTCGGTTTCTGGTACTGTGGTCATTTTTTCGAAAAGATTTTTGAATATTAATTACATCTTCTGTCTTCAACTTAACTGTAAAGATTTCGTATTGAAAGATTTGGAAATTACAAACTCATTTTGGTGCTACTTCCTCAAATCATTAATCATGCAAAAAGTACACTAAAAAAAATAATAAATTAAAATAAGCAACAACTCACCAGTGAAGCCAAGATTCTTCTGTCAAACATGACACATTGCATAAGATTTTATTCATGATGCATGCTACTTGCTCCTGCAAGGTACATAAAACAGGCTACAAATGGGGTGTTTGTTTATTTGTGGAGGTTTAACACACATGCTAGATTCCCTCAAACCATCATGGCCCTTATGACTAATAGCAATAGAAGATTTTTATTTTTTTTCCCCCAAGGAATCCAATGCTTCTTGAGTTGCATCTGTAGACAAAGCTGGCACTATAAAACTAGAATACCACCCCCAATGCAAAATCGTTCATTTTCATCTCAACTTCGTTCTTCAATTTTACATTCTCTTCCACCTCAAACTCAATGCCTCGCCTTTCCACTCCTATAACGCAAGACGAATGTCTGTACGACACTCGTTGGACAAAAGAGACCGACAATCTTTTTATTGACTTGCTCATTGAGTCGCATCTTCTTGGAAAGTGGAGTAGTGGTCGTCCCGGGCCTGCTGTCTATGCTTACTGCCGCTCAATTTTCATTGGCGAGCTCGAACAAATTGTTAATTACGAAGAATTTGATGAAAGGTTCGACTTTCTTCAAAAGCGGTACTAAGTTTTTAGCTGGATGCTAGGCAAACGCGGTTTGCGACACTGCATTGAATCAAATATCCTCACAGCTCCCATTGTCGTTTGGGGTGATATCTTTGAGGTACCTGTTTGATTCATACGTTTTACGGAAGCATAAATTTTCAAAGTTTATTAATTAATTAAAAAATGCAATTTAACATGATTCATGTGTTTTAAATTTGAGTATTTCAATCAAATGCTTTTAGCGTTGCTTATCAACATTCCGGAGACCCACGTTGGGCGGACTTGCGTATCATGTTCGAGGAGGTGTTTTCTAGAAATCCAAGGTCAGAAGTAGTTCATGACCGAACACATGTCGTTGATGACAATTCCTATCACAATGCTTTGCAGACGCTTTGTAGTCGCAACAACGCTCCTCCCCAACATGGTGGCCCGCATGATGACTCGTCCGAAAGCTCTGTTAACACGCATGCCCACGTGCTAATTAATAGGAGGGGCAGTTGAACCCCATTGTGCATCCCACGTCCACCGCATAAGCCAGACTCGGCTTCATGCAAGGGTTCGACTAGCGATCCTCCCTTTTGAAGTGACCCCCGTGTTATCGAGTGAACTTATGTGCGTAGTCTTTGTTTTCCATGTGGTTTAATGTTTTTGTGTGTATTGTGGTATAACGTAAGGTAAAACAATGTTGTCTATGTTTTCGCGATGCCTATGTAGTAATGTTTGTATCAAGTATGTGTGTGTTATGTTCAATGGAAAATATTTGTTCGTCTTACATGTTGGAGTTTGAATTTAAATTTTTGTGCTTCCACTGGACATTTCTTTGTCCACAAAATCGTGATATGGATTCTATAACTCTGCATGCTTTGTTTTAATTAGTTCTAATTAAAAAGTGCCCAAAAGGAATATTTGTCACATAACATATTTCATTTTACATTATAAACACTACACCAAAATATTGTTTCTTTCATCCCTACGCATCAGACCTTAATATACTTGCACAAAATAGTCCATAAACAAGTAGCACTAAAGTTACTAGTGTGGCAATATACTACATACAAAATAATGCCACTAAACCATACCAAGCAACTTCTACTCCCACCTACACACGAAAACACAATACCAAAATAGACTTAATATAAGAAATACGCAGCCACATAATAATACATTACAAAACACTTATTGCTACTCTGAGTCAATGCACGACCCAACGTCTATGTCGACATCCATCTCATCCGGTGCCTCGTCCGAATCAATGTCAACCACCTAGACAACAGCGGGTTGTGCAACATACTCCTCCTCCTTAACTTCCTCTACATCAGCGCGATGTTGAACCTCATTCACATCATTGTCGGCGCCCTCACCGTCCTCACCATCGTAATTCCCGAACTCCAAAGCAGCACCTTCAGCGCCCTCTACCCCGTTCGCCTCATCTGCAGCAACCATTTTGTCATCCGTGTCGGCAAACATGATCGGGTTGTCGCCTCTTTCACCGTCTGCATCCTGCACCGAAGCCGCATCTCTAAGATCCCAAAGCTCCACACACTCCTGGTACCATGGGAACCTAGCATGCCAAAAAAAATTTCCAAATCCGTCTCCTATCAAGTGAAGGGTGTGAAGGAAAATTAAAAATGAAATTTAAAATATATGGAACAAAATTTTCCGTACCCCTTGCATGCATGCACGTCCTAAATTACGCATATGGGTACGGACGTATACAATAATAATGCATAGCGGTAAGTAACACAAACTTGGCCGACGTACGCCCAGTACGTTGGAGTTACAGTCACAAGACTCGTATCCTCCTGAACGTCGACACCGGGAGTGTCAAGGTACGTGAGGAACTCCCGGTAGTAGGTGTGCAGAGACTTGATCTTGTCCTTCACCTTGAGCACGGAGAAATATAGGAGCGTCTCTTCTGTCAGTTGAATGGAAAGGTGATGCCATATTGCGTTCAGGACGGCCGGTTGGTTGACGTCGGGAGTTTCACGAAAAATGTTGAAGAAAATTCTATAGCACTCCCGCTCCTCGTTCGCTGTCCATCCGGGCCGCCGAAACCTCTCCGCGATACGTAGCATGCTTGTATGACGATCCATTTCAATCCGTTTGAAAATGAAGTATGCTGTAATGGAAGGAAAAGAGTTGTTTTATTAAGATTCAGGTCTGAAATGAAGAAAAATCAAACATGCTTTTACCACATAGCCGCATGCAAAAAAACATATTAGATAAATTTTTTACCTTGTCTTGATATGGTAGTCCCACAGAATAGTTCACCTCCTCTTCTCCCTATTACCACCCATCAATTTATATTGGAATTCGTGTGAAATCAGTGGTTTGGAGTATTGGGGTAGGCGTGTGAAATCAGTGCTTTGGAGGATTGGGTAGGTTGAATTAAATATGTCATTGAAGGCATGTAATAATGGGTGTAGAAGACTTTCACTCTTCCATCTTATCGGCTTTGTGATCACAATTTATTGTTGGTGTGACTGGTAGCTTGATGGGCGGTGGTTCCAGATTTTTGTTCATTTTGTTGCTATTATAAATAGATGTGAGGCTAGTTTTTGGGTGTTTTGTTGTTTTGCTATTTTGAATACAATGTTGCATTATACATGACATAGTACATGGACAATATATATTTTTAAAGCGAAAATAAAATCCGAAAAAAAAGGAAGATGAGTGCAAATATCATATTACATATCCTACGGGAAGTTCACCATTACAAGACACCAAAATAACCACATGTAGTGGGCAACGTATAAGCCATATTACAAGTCCAAAAGAAATGCCATCAACAACAAAATTCCAAATACAAAGGCACACAATATTTAAGAGCATATCATACCTTCCAACCTACAATTTATTTTCGAGTATCATCTTTACCATTGAAGCTTTCTCCTCTTCGTCCACGCTAAAAAATACATCCATATCTTCTTTGTTCCTACAAAAGTACTTTGCTACGATAAACTTTTGTTCCGTCGTCAACATGGGAATATTCTTTAACGCCTCGTATAAAACCTTTTGTTGCTCCTTCGCGTCGTGTTGGACCCCAATACGTTCCACCATTTGACCCCAACGTTGATCGGCTTTCTCGCATAAAGTAGAGAGTAGGCCGACCACTTCAACCTACACATCCTTTACACGTTTACGTTTGCCTACCTGTTTAACCTTCCCAAATGCACTACTCTCAACACCCTGCGCAGATGACTCAGTTTCATTCTCATTGGATTCAAAGTTACAACCAACCCCGCCACGCCTCACATTTTGTGCGGGGGCATCCTCACCCGTGTTACTTAGT